ATATATAGTTAGTTAGTTTAGTTAGTTATTATTTAGTTGTTAGTTACGTTATTTAGTTAGTTGTATATATATATATATATATATATATATATATATAACGATTGTATACATAAGTATTGTTATTGTACATCGTCAAAAGTAAAGCTGGAGCGCTGACACAGTTTTGCACATTGTTCTTTTCTCAAACTCTACGGTCGCACTAAATATAAAAAACATTTTTGAAGCATACAATTGTTGTTAACGGATATTATTATACGGTTCTACACAAACCCACAGATGTCTGGAATGGTCGCCCCAGGCATGCAACCAGTTGTGAACCAGCAAGCGTTAGCACAAGCTCAAGCTCAAGCTCACGCCCAGGCTGCAGCACAAGCCGCACAGCTGGCACAGTCGTCTGTCAACACGGTACTCAGTTCACAGCAACTGCTGGCACTGGAGAAAGCAAGGTAAGATATACCTTGTGCAGAAATGATCTGTAGCCTAGCGCATCACTCGTGTAAAAGTGAATTGATTTTCTATGGAGTGGCTGTTTATATTGAGATAGCAATATATCTTAAGCAGTCTGCTATGATCGAGGTTATTATCCGGTGCCTGTGGTGTTGGTTGTGTAGCGGATGCTAGCGATACAAAGTCTCGTATATAATAGATAGACAGCGAATCGAGTTGTGGAACATACTGAGTATGGCGAGGCTCAAACGTTGCGGTGTGTTCAGTCGTGTTGTAGGGCGCCAGGTTCTCTACATGTGTGCATCGATGGTGTTTTTTTTTCATTCATGGTCATGATGGCCGCAAGTTGGCATACTTTACGACTACGGACTCCCATGTTTGTATTCAGAGTTGAACACATCCGCAGATACCTATTTTTATTAAGGGCATCGATTTTCGACGACTTATATCGCCGCTGAACATTGTGGACCGCTTGGGATTTAGTTGGCTGTCTCAAATACTGGTTTGAAGCATTGCTCAATTTATAGATGGATCACTTGTTCACCAGCTCCTCTATCCCTGATTCCCACACATATTATAAAGGAATTTCGCGCGAACACAATTAGCAGCCGCACTAGGGGGCGGTCCTAAGGTAGCGCCGGTAGTGGATGCGGAGAAATTAAAACAACAACAGGAGGAGGCAGCGAGACAAAGGGCTCTAGGTATCATGTCCCGTATATACGTTGGAAGCATAAACTTCGATATTGACGAGCCGCAAATCGAGGCCGAGTTCAAGGTTTTCGGGCCTATAAAGTAAGTACACACGCGCTTACTATTTCTTCGTTTCCAACTCTGATTGTAATAGATTTAAAATTTATGTAGCGCCTGAAACCATGCTCTTTGTGATCACACGCTGTTGGCTGCCTGTCGTAGCACCAATCACCGAGTGTCTGCTCTTGTCCACTTTCTGACTACGTCTTAACAACTTTGATCAAACTGCAGATCAGTGTCCATGTCACGAGATGTGTCCACAGGGAAACACAAGGGATTCTGTTTTGTGGAATACGATACCCCCGAGGCCGCGACTCTGGCTCTGGAACAGATGAATGGCGCTAGCATGGGTGACCGCTTCCTCAAAGTGGGCCGACCAAATAACGCACCACAGGCAGTGCAGCAAATGGGTAAGCATCATATTCATGGATATATATATTTGTGTATGTCCGATTGCGAGGTTGAATGTTAGGGATTCGTACTGGATTTTGGGATTGGTCTATATATGGGGTGTGGTTGGCGTTTCTTTCAGTCGGAACCAAATGCGACAATGTGTGAAGGTTTTCACCAAGAGTTGAGCTTGATCTGGCTTCGTATAGATAGGTCATTTTTGGGGGTCTGGGTTCATAGCTCGGTATTTGATGACTGACTGGGAATTGGGGCGCGTGGGGTTGCATAGACGTCTATATTGAATTGACCTCTGTATCCGATAGGAGGTGATCGTGGATGATATTTGGCTCGAAACGATAACGTTTTACGTTGCAAAAAAAACAGTTAAATTCCAGTCGCGTCTACGGGAGTTTTTTGCGTCTTATTCGTATTGTGTGCGATCTAAGTGTTTTATTTTAGCACTCTTACCGACCGATTCTGATGCTCATGCACCTGCTTCCTATATGCGATTACCTACATGCTTTGCCAATTATGGCTTCTACGTGTTTGCTTTGATTATGTGGCCGCACTTGTTGTACGTATGTGTAAGGGGATCTGCGCGAACGTCCTAAGAGATGTAAAAGCAGGCTAGATACTACAATGGTATATTCGTCAACTCGAGTCTAGCATTTTTCTGTGTTCAGCCCGTTGTATGCTTACAGTTCTACAATGTATCTCATCTATGTATCATCGAATTGTCTTCGCAGAGGATCTTCAGAAATTGGCGCTCGAGCATCCCAGATTATACGTTGCTGCAGTACACGAAGAGCTTTCAGTGGAAGACATACAGTCGGTGTTCGAAGCGTTTGGAACTGTGAAAGAATGCAGGCTGGGCTTCGATTTGGGCAAGTCCCACCACAAAGGGTATGCTTGTGATTGACATGTATTACCTATGTTATCATGGGCTGCTCGCTCAATTATGTGTGTTCTGGCTAGACTTGCCCTGTGATCAGATACATCGACAGAGCTAGAAATATATAGTGTATTCTAGTAGTCAATAATATCTTGTTAAGGCGGTCTTGTGCTGTCACTTACAGTTCATGTTGAGCCAATATTAGGCCACAATCTCTCAGCCTATGCTGACTATCTGCTATGTGCATGCTGTGGTACATGGTGTACATACCCCACACTTACGCCTGTCATCACCTCTTCCTTTCTTTCTTTTTCTTTTCTTTCTCTTTGCCTATATATGTGTGTGCGTGGACGTGACTGTCTGTGTTGTATCACATATAGCTTCGGTGTTCGGAACACTAGGCGCGGTCAAAGGGGGGCGATGCGTCTTCCATCCAGGCTCATCCCAGCGAAAATGGTATAAGTTTCTACTTCATTGTGATCTTTGCCTACACAGCAGATATATTGTAGGTTCCCCTTTTAAGCTGGAGTTATATTTCTCTAGCAGCGATAGTTTTAGGTTCCGTTCATTGCCATCGTGTGATCTGATGAATCATAGGTCGTGAGTTATACTAGATAGAATGTACGGTCAATGTACGGGTCTGTGCCTTTGAGATCAGTTGTGTGTGTGAATCTGTGTCCAGTTCTGTTTTCTTCTAAATGATATGCTAGGATTTTGTCTATCTGTGCACTGTATTTTCACATGTATGTACACATTAGTATTGTAACTATTGTTAGTGTAAATACATAGTTGTATATTCAAGTCGATAAACAGATATGTGAATGTAGGCAGGCTACAGAAACAATACCAGCGTCATAAACAATGTACATGATGTAATTACGACCTGTCTGGACGAAGATATGGACTGGAATGTTGTACATAACGTGCAAGACAAACAAAAACGCATTGGAAGCATTCGCCAGGTCACGTTGTATCCAGTATTCGTTTCTATGTGCTTTCATATTTATTCGCATGCGCAGAAAATTGCACAGGTATGTTTATCTTCGCTTGAGAGCCCGGGGTCACGTATATATATATATATTTATATTTATAGCATTGGCCGCATGTGTATGCCCTGATCTTGGATTATGAATGGTATCTCTTGCGACTTCATGCTTACATTCTCACTGTCCTATATGTATATAGGACCTTATATACATTGGTGGAAGTATGCAGAGTATTTTTTTAGATTATGTTTGTCATATCGCAATGTTGTATTTATGTAGAAAGTTTGCGTATACGATTTTACATGCGCATACATACCAACACATGTATGTCGTCATACATGCGCATATATCTTTCAAGATTTTAGCGTATACTACTTAGAAATTGATTCTCACATAAAGTTGATACAAATACACATTTCTATACTCACAAATGTATAACGTCCGTTATGACAAGGTGCTACAGTAGTAGAAGGCTCATTGTTGCAGATTAACAACATATGATCGGTTTTCCCGTTTACTTTGTTTAGGCTGTTGCTTGTTTTACGCGCTTTGCGTAGCGCATTTCCCTATATCTAATCATCGAAGCATTCGATAATTTTATCCACAGGAAAGCTCTCTACTCGCATGTACAGCTTACTCACACATGCCTCCTTTTATCTCCTTCTTGCAACGTTCTGCATATGTCCCGTATACACTCCGTTTGTGCACACACGCGCAGGTACGGGTACATTGAGTACGAGGATATTGCGGTCAGAGATGCGGCCGTGGCGGCAATGAACCTGTTCGATCTGGGCGGTCAGTTGCTACGCGTGTGTGCTGCGGTTACGCCGCCGATGCCCAATCTGCTAGGCACAGCTCACGGACTCAAAGAGATGAGTGCTACAGGTATTGGGGTTCTCTCTCTTGTAAAGGTCTAAAATTAATGCTTTTGACTCCTTACTTGTTTTGAGTATAGTTGATTGTGCTGTGCAGTTGGTGTCAGCTCTACTTACGGCTGAGTTATGCCGAAGTAAAATGCTTAACAACATTACCCTAAAACACCATCTCAACTTTTGCTTTTCCTATCTTTACCTTTGTCGTTGTACGCGATACAGATAATGAAACTGCACTGAGGCTCAAAGCCGCCGTGGCCCGGGTAGAGAACAAACACCTGGGTGGCGCGAGCACAGACACACCCGAAGTAACTCCCAGCACAAACACAGTTACTCCAAGCCGACCAGACAGTACGACGATACCAGTATCCACAACTACAGCTATACCTACAAGTACAACTTCAGCCCCTGCACCGGATGACGGATCGCTGGCTGCTGCAATTGAAGCGAAGGCGAACAAGATGGCCGCTGAAGCCGACGTAGAGCAGGTAAGGAGTGAGCGCTCGTGTGAGTGTAGCGTGCTGATGTGATGTATGTGTATAAATGCGTGTTTACGGGCGTGTGAATGTTTTTTTCGGTGTATGAAATGTATACTATTGTATGTATAAATGCGCTTGACACTGAACATGCACAAAAACGCATACATTGATATATTCTGCATAAACACGTGGTCTGTCATATGAGTGTTTCTATTCAAATGTGAAGTCGACGAGCCATTGTTTCCTTTGCGGGTATTGAATATCTCTATCTCAAAATTGGGTGTTCGAGTATCCTGTTCTTTTTGTTAACTATGCACCAAATACTCCAGCATACTGGGGTTGCAAGATGTCATTACTAACACGACGTCTGAATCCGCTCCAACAGACGTCAAATAAAAGAAAGGCTGTGGACGATGAAGAGAATATACAGATTACCGGAACGAGTCAAAGGTTTATGCTCATGCAGAAGTTGGCAAGGAAATCGGTATGCCTAGACATATTGGTGTAGGTTTATCATGAGCTATAGAAGCGTACATTTGTTGCACAGACATATTCACATGCGCTCACCATCGTCACACTACCGCATCTGATACTAATCAGTACGTTTGAGTTTGGCAAAATATGTTTTATATAACACCTGGGATGCACGATAGGGAATATAATAACATCAAAATCAACTACAGCTTTAGTTACAAACTCTGTTAGTGTAGTGGTTGCCTATCATTTCTTTAGACATATCTTTCACAGTCATAGCTGCGCTGAAAAAGCCAACTGCGCCGTAAGAGTGTTCGTGATTCTACTTTGTGTATATATTTATCATATTCATAGAACATAAAGACCCCCGAAGTGGTGTACCCTATTCAACTGCTCATCGATCTGATAACGCAGGATAATAGAGTTGTGCTGCTAAAGAATATGTATCCGCCTGATGAGGATGTGAACGATCCTGAATTAGAAGAGGAGATAAGGGAAGAGTGCTCTAACTATGGCACAGTTGAGAAGGTGGTCTTCTACAAGGTATGTTCACTACAAGCACCATAATGAGTCCTGTGCATCATTTGTCGGGAGACAATTAACGCAGCCCTATTTGTTTAGTTTTGAAAATTCGCCGTTATTTCGAAAATGATAAATAGATAATTCGCACTTGTTCCGTACCAATAGAGGTTCATCATATACAAATTGTCTCTTTAAATGCTGCAAGTAATTTCTGATTGCGCTGCGAATGAGCAAGTTGGTTTTTATTCCGCAGACGAAACCATTTATTGTCAGCTGCACATGATACGGTTATTTTGCTTCCTCACCCGCCTGCAAACTAAATACCATGACCAGGCTACCGAATCGCATAAACAAGTCAATCACTCTGTTCTAAAATGCTGTTCTGTGACTTGAAATCTGAACCTTTTGCCGTATAACTGAATAATGAACAAAACTACCAGCCCACATCAATCATTCCCCACCATACTGCTAGCACATTATTAAGCATACTAGGCGTCCTCGACCGTCGCCATGATATGATCCACACATACTAAATGACTTCACTATACGACTCAGAGATACTCACTAGTGCGTACGCCTCTGACACTTTCTCGCTCGCCTTTCATACAAAACACAAGCAGGATACGTTATCCCTGTCACGATTTTAATCCTTACTCGCACGCCATGCTTGAAAATATCCGAGCAGGATACTTTTTCAGGACCCGAGCCAGAGATTAAAGTCTTCGTGCAATTCAGGCAAACGGAAGAGACGGTGGCGGCAATTGCGTCGCTCAATGGCCGGTGGTTTGATGGCAAACAAATTGTTGCAGAAACATATGATGGCGAGCTATTTGCTGCGAATGACTTTACGGGATAGTTCTGCCTCATAAAAAAGATAAATCGAAGACACCTATGAATAAGACCAATATTTTTAGAAAAAGTTTATTGTTCTCCTCCCTTGTTGGAGTATTCAGTTCTGCACTGGTCCGAACAAACGTAATAGTCAGGAGCCGGGTTGTGTCAGTAGGCTCTTCGACTAAAGAGGCACTGCACAAAATACAAGTGGGTAGACTGCTGACAGCATTTCACCTTTCTCGGTAGCATTAATACAGTGAAATCCAAACAAAATGTATGTGGACCGTGATATCGTTGCTCGTTGGTTAGTTGTTGGACTATAGACACTCTTGCAAAACCTACGAAGAACCCCCATTTTAAATCGACCTGCTGACAATGACTACGACGTGTACAGTGCAGACCTGCAAAACAATTAAGATAAAATATATCGAGATACTGTTTATGAGTCAATTTCATGATATCCTATCCTATGGTTCGTGAGAACAATGGCAAGACTGACAGATGTATGCATGTGCGACAGTCGTAGACCTCGTGAGTCGTGACTGATTGATCCTTGTCAGTAATTCATAACGTAAATGAATGGCCCAAGTGGGTGTGCAGCGCACACCCGCTTCAAGGGCTTTACGAAAAGGTGTTTTTATTGGCTAAAGAGGTCATTTGCGAGCAAAGTCCGCAGACAATTGGACAGTTCTAGCTACGTCTTTGATTTTCAGGATGGTTGTTTTGTTATCAGGGCAATTATCAAACTATCACTGGTTCATAGCGTTATAAAATGTCGTGTACATATTAGGAGTTTAAAATATGGCGCGTTTATGCCTACTACAGTACATATATTTTATATTTTTTGTTTTAAATATTCAAAAACCATAGCCTACTAGAATACAAAAAACACAGCTCCTTGACGCACACTCCCCTGCCGATCAATCTGCTTGTGCCTTTCTCGACATGCTTACTACTAATCGTGAGCGATGAAACAGCATTCAATATTTGCTTCACACCGTCACCGACCACCGGCATGCATGCATACATACATAAATACATGACTGAACATGCATGAACACATGAATACATTTTTACATAATTCTATACATTCATACGCACGGACATACACACATCGATATATTGGTAAATCGTACAATTGTATATATAATATAATATAATATATATATATATATATATATATATATATATGTTATGTATATGTTACATATATATATATATATATATTTATATATATATATATGAATTAACTATATATACAGGTATACATAAATAATAGAAATATATATGTATATATAGATTTATATGTATATATGTATATATATATATATATACATAAATACATAAATATATATATAAACTTCTACTTATACATACCCATATATTCAAAGACATATATATACATACATACATACATGCACATACAATCCCATAAATACAAACATATCCATATCCATATATATATATATATATATATATATTTTATATATAAATACATATATATATATATATATATAAATATAAATATATATATACTTACATACATGCATGCACATACAATCCCATAAATACAAACATATCCATATATATCTATAGAAATGCACATATACACACACACATATATATATATATATATATATATATATGTATGTATATATATATATAGATATGTATACGTATATATATATATATGAATACACACACATATATATATACATACACATAAGCACACGCATTCCCACACACACACATACACACACACATACATACATACACACATACATACACACACACACACACACATACACACATACATATACAATATACAATATATATATATATATATGTATCTGTATATGTATATGTATATATATATATGTATATGTATATGTATATGTATATTTATGTACATGGATATGGATATGTATATATATATATATATATATATATATATATATATATATATATATACCTTATACATCAGAGAACTACATCGCCCAGCTCCTTGATTCGCACTCCCCTGTCGTCCGTTCTGCTTGTATCTTTCTCAACGTACTTTATGCTAATCGTGAGAGATGAAGCTGTATCCATCATTCATTTCTCAACGTTGCCGACCGATTCGTAGTCCAACCTGATCATACATAATCTGATCTGGAATCTGTGGTTGACTGCACATCGTGCGTGGCAATATATGTACAGTATAGGGTGCTAATATATCACTGTTGATGATATAGAACTGAATATTCGATTACTAGGACCCTTCTCTGTTCATACATATAGTGTTTCGGGCCCTTCTGTACGTGTGTATAGCGTGCGAAGAGAGCGAAAGAGATGCATATGTGTGTGATCGTTAGTTCGTCACTGTTCACGAATATATGGCCCAAATAGTGTCACGGATTTTAAAGAGAAGAAAGTAGAAGTAGAACACGCCAAGAGCGAAACGAGTTACGACTTACGAGTGATATGTACATTGGGGCCATGGATTCATGTGGAATGTCCTGTGTATCTGTGACATTTGCACTTGAACGTTCCTTATTTTAACCGCTAACCAGTGCTCACATGAGCACAAAGACACAAATAGGTTCGAGAAATCTTCCGAAATCTCATCGAATGCCAAAGAATCAAGTTTTTATACAGAAAAAAAATGTTTTTTTTATGAAAATGCATGGCCAAATCTCCTTTTCATTTATAAAAATATCCACATCGGCACAGCTATTATTATATCGTTCTTACAAAACAAATCAATCGTTTTTGCGTTTGTAAAACGTTTATTTTTGTAAAATGCAGTAAATACTTTCGGGATTTCAACCTCTCGAGTACGTACATACATGGTAATCTTTTTTCGTTTTTATTTTTACACTCTATGATTTTCTGCACAGTACACACCATATACGTTATTTATTTATTATTTAAATACATCTCGTTTTTATTTAAAGTCGTCTGCCCGCAATTTTTTTTTTGTGTGGGTTTCACGCATGCTCAGGAATTCTACCGACCTTCCGCAGGTTCGCCCGAGATCACTTTTAGATAGGGGACAACTCTCTGGACATTTTGTTCCACCTTCCACGCGACAGGATGCGAAGGTTTAACCACGAACGCTGGTGGCTGATGAGACTTGAGAAGATGATGAGACTGTGATCATTGATGTCGTTACAATATAAAAATCTGCATCATGACATTCTCACTGATTTATCTCGTATAAAAGCCCTTAGATGAATTCTATTCAAATCATTCTAACGAACAAACAACAATATTCTTATAAACAACTTTCAAGATGGCAATGAAATACTGCAGACGCGCGTCCGACCACGTATGTGACATGGGCGCCGAGAACACCTGCTCCAAGATCATGCAGCTATGCGCCGCCGAAGAAGAACTGGTTGACAATTTCGATGAAGTAACCCACTACCTGCAGAAGCATTTGGTCGAGATCATCGGCAGTGTACACAGCATGGACAAGGACCAACAGCGTCTTATGGCCGATGATGGTATTACGCAAGTGGTTGCACCACCAGCACCCGAGGAAGGCGATTCCCACGGCGGACTTCTGTTGAGAACTTTCTCCGAGAAGATTAAGGACGGGCACGTGGTTTTGACGCGAGAGTTCAAGGTGCACTCAGTCGACGCCAAAAAGAACGAGGTCAGATATGAGCTCACCCGCGCCAAGGGCCCAGGAAACGTCGAACACACTGAGAAGAAGGCCTTCTTAACCGTTATTTGTTAAATCAAAATAATCTCGGCTCCTATGAATGCAGCTATAAACAAAAATTATTAAAAACAACCGCATTAGAATTAAAAATCTTTGTAATAAGAGTTGGAATCCTCCCCTACTTCATATTTTTTTAAATAGCAAGAATCATTCTGTTCCTTCATAAAGTGTTCGTAATATTGCGCATCTATCTATAGTCTTGAGCGGATTTCAAAGTGTTATTGCTTCCTCATCTTTGACGACGTATCCGAAGGTCCCATTTTGCAGCTGTCTCTGTTAAAAATTGATACTTCTGTAATAGTCTGGGAGATACAAACACATAGTCATAGTTCCTATGATCACTATGTAAATATAAATACATGGTCATCTCTACTAGAAATTGTCGCCGGATGAAAAATGGATTCTCCCTGAGTAGAGGCTAAAGTCAAGAGAGAATATCATTTCTGACAGACAAATCCAGAGGGTCATGGTAAAGTTTTTTCAGTAGGTTATGTGAATAAATTATGTGAATAAACAGAAATAAATAGAATACTCGCGTAAAATAAAGCATATATTTACGAAAGACGATAGCGCCAAAAAAAAAGCTCAAATTTGTTCTATTTAGCTATGTCAGATTGTTGAATTTTTAGGAGAATTGTTTGTATTTACGAGTACTAAAAAGCCTATATGTAGTAGTAAAGTTTTCATCTCTATACCACAGCATATGTATAAGATATGATATACTTATGATGCTCCGATGGCTGCTGCGACTGCCGTTCTTCGACGACAACACAAGCAGGTACAGCGAATAGAACGGCGGGTAGCATGATGCGCGAGCCGATCACGTGATATGTAATTACTAGCGTGTTGAACAATATAGACTATCATTGGCACAGTTCAACAATTGGTTTAGTTTGATCCCTTGCTGAATATGATGTTTTTATACACGAATCGTTGTACACATAATATACTTACGTGACTTAATTTCTAAGAGTGGTTTATGCAAGCAATAGGATGGCATGCTCACGAGTAGACTTGACCAATTGCACGCGATTGTCCAACTGTTTACAATCGTTTAAGTTGTGGTCTAGATCGTGGTGCCTGTCGTATTCTTGAGACTCGTCTGAAGGACGCAGGCAATCACTCAACAGACGCCAAGCAATCTGCTGACTACCTGTTTTATAGATTACACCCTGAAATAATAAACGCATATTATGTATACATGCTTATGAAAAGCCCGGAGATGCGCAGACCCCATCAACTACATTGGTTACCCATGCTAAATTATCATCATGCAATTCTAAACCCACAAGCTGGGCATACAATTATGCTGTGTACACACTAAGACAGTAAGCATATGCATATATCAATCAGATCCACTGGGATTTGTCAAACTTTTCAATGTCCATTGAAAAATATAAGTGTGTACACGCCTAAGGCACTATAGTAATGCAACGCAAGAGTTGCCACATTTGTATACTTATATTTGTTTCTCACGGTGTAGCGTGTTGTGTGTTATATTTTGAAAATCAGATCACACATTCCTTCTTCTGTAAGGTGTGCGCAGTACAGTCGTTGTCACTGACTGCAATTGTTGCTGAGAAGTTTTCAATTGCATGAAACCTGTTGAACGTGCCCCGTTTGCAACCTATGCAGCGATGATAACCAGATCGAGTGTGACAAAGCGAGGACACTTCATTTGGTCTTAGACTTGCTCCTGGAATGTCTCCAGTTAGTTCTCGTACATTTAAAGCAGACAGATGTACTCCAATTTCGACCTACGTGCAAGTCTAAATGCGATTAGTTGTGGGTAATGAACACCCATCTAAACGTTATTGCATAGCAAAGTATTATATATATATATATNTATATATATATATATATATATATATATATATATAA